GGTTCCTGGGGGTGCACATCTCTGAGGACCTGGACCAACAACACCACATCACTGGCCAAGAAAGCTCAAACATGTCTCTACTTCCTCTGCAAACTGAGGAGAGCCAGTGCCCCACCCCCCATCATGTGTTCCTCCTACCTGGGCACCATTGAGAGCATCATCACTGGCTGCATCACTGTGTGGTATGGAGGCTGTAGTGCCTCCTGCAGAAGGACCCTGCAACGCATAGTGAAAACAGCCAGCAAGATCATCGGTGCCCCTCTGCCTTCCCTTACGGACATCTTCAACTCCCACCTCACCCACAAAACCATCAGCATTGCTGATGACACCTCCCACCCTGCACATTCCCACTTCAGACTCCTGCCTTCAGCCGCACCCGCAGAGCCATCAGCATTGCTGATGACACCTCCCACCCCACACACTCCCACTTCAGACTTCTGCCTTCAGGGAGAAGGTATTTGAGTCTTCAGACCCACTCCACCAGACTTACAAACAGCTTCATCCACCAGGCTGTGAGGATGCTGAATGCTGTCCATTACCTCCCCCCTCTGCCCCTGGACTGTGACCCACCACAGAACATAAAAAGACCTCTGCTGGTTTGCACAAACTCAGTGCAATTCCCTTTATGTTATACTATATGAAATCTGCTGCTGACTGTTTTTTTTTTTTTTGCTGGGATATCTGCTTCTGTTGGTCATTTGCAGTACTGTCCATGTATACCTCATGCTTTTTGCACCTCATCACCAACGGTGATGCTGAACCATCTGACAATCTCCTATTAATGTTTGCACTACTGTCACTGACTGTACACGGTTTTGAGTCACAGCTTATTGGCTGTACCGTTTAGATTTATCCTAATTACGTTAATCCAGTTCTTACTCTTTTCTATTCTATTTGATTCTATTTTAGTTCCTAAATGTTATGGCACCCAATACTAGGTGAGAGAGAAACGGTATTTCGATTTTCTGTATGTCCAGCACATATGGTGAACTTACAATAAAATCCTTGAAACCTTGAAAACCTTTTCCTCTGACAAGCGACACCTTCCCATCTTCTTCTGGCCTGTGTGTTGTCTCCTTGGGCTTGCCTCCTTAAATAGTGGGTGTTCCAATATCACCTGCAGATGCTCCTGTTGTTCCTGTGGGACCTCCAGTTGCAGAGAGGTGATCTGTCTTGTGGCCTCCTGCAGCTCCTCCTGGTGATCTGTCTTGTGGCCTCCTGCAGCTCTTCCTGGTGTGTGCAGGTAACAAACAGGTGCGTGCCGGTAACAAACAGGTGCGTGCAGGTAACAAACAAGTGCAGGCAAGGTAACAAACAGGTGCGTGCAGGTAACAAACAGGTGTGTGCAAGGTAACAAACAGGTGCGTGCAGTTATCGTTTATGCCGCTTGTCAACACGACCAACAGTTGCACAGGTGGCAGCAGGCGTCCGCACAGACCCAGCAGCTGTCAGGGTCAGACCTGGGATTTGTCTGAACACAGACTGGAAAAACATTTTGTGATTCAGCGGGACTTAAACATTCAAAGGATGTTGTTATCTCTGATGTCCATCACAAACATGCCTACGTGAAAGGCCAGGAAGCACAGAAGAAAAGACGCTTCAGAACCTGCCCGAGAATCATCACGTTTTTGGTTTTCTTTAGTATATATGTAATTACTTCAAAGTTCAAGTGTAGAGCCGGTGGCACATACCAAAAACGGACTGTTAATAACAAATTTGGCATGTTGGAGTTTCCAAAATGTAAACAAATAAAGGCTGAAAACGCAGCTGAAGTTGTAGCTCGCAGCATCACTTGGAAAGTTGGCTTCCCAGAGTTTGTTGTTGACGAAACAGTGTCATCTGGTCACATCGTGCAATACCAACGCTTTCTAACATTTATCAGTAACAGTTACTGCAGCTGTTTGCCACCTTGAACAGGAATGCTAACGTTAGCTTCTACTCTTAGCCGCAGTCACCTGAGTCCAGGTGGGGGCGTGGGGCGCACCTGCCACACGCTGCTAACCACGATTTGGTAAATAACTTCACTCTGATTTACTAACAGAGCAGAAATGATTTGTCAGTCATCAGAAAACCAGTCTGCAGTTATTTGATTAACTGTTTAAGTTGCTCTTTGCTGATTCCAGTTTTTTATTTGTATGAATTTGATGCATTTCCTTTGACCAGATTGTAAACTGAATGTCTGGGTTTTTAGACCTTGCTGGACACAAGGTGAAGACATCAGCCGGACGCCTGCAAACTGTGGTAGGTTGCTCTATTGTTTATAAATCCAGTGTGTACAACTTGGTTTTTTTCTTTAGGTTTTTAGATCAGAATTTGCCTATTTGGAGTGGCTGTGGCTCACGAGGTAGGGTAAGTCGTCTTCTGACCAGCAAGTTGGTGGTTCGACTCCCGGTCTCCCCACGTGCCTAAGTCTCCCTGAGCAAGACACTGAACCCTAAATTGCTCCCGGTGGCTTGACAAGCCCATTGTGTGGCAGCCTTGTCGTCATCGGTGTGTGAATGGTGTATAATCTCCCTGTAAAGTGCTTTGGCCAGTGCATAAAAGCGCTATATAAATACAGTCCATTTACCATATTTGTTTTGGTAGCGTTAACCACCTAGCATGGTCATGGTTTTACCTTGGTATTGAATTAATCCTGTTTTTAATCAGGGAGTAATTGGAGCTTTGTGTCACAGCGGCACCAACCAGGGTGTTCTACTGGACTAATTTGTCGGTTTATGTTCAGTCTCACTAGACCCTTAGGAAATTAGTCAGAGCAGCTTTAAAGAGTATTCTGGCTGTAAAAGAGGTGTAGTTACCCAGAGTGGTAACGAGCTCCATCAGGTCTTCGGGTCCGTTCCCCTTCAGCGTCTCCAGAGACTCAATCACCTCCAGACTGTTGCCCACACATTGGCCCACGGTCCCGTCCATCGAGCTGAGCACTGCGCATGTTTGCATGCCCAGGTTGTTTCCTGCATCCACCTGAACAGTAAAAGTCATTATTTACAACATGTTGACCGTTTGACTCCTGCAATCTTGTTACATAAATTCAGTTGTTGAGCACCAGATGAGATGTCTGACATCCTGTGGCACTAACAAATAAAGGTCTGATTAAAAAAAAACCCAGAAGGAGCGTGAATGTACCTGGAATACTTCCAGTATTTTGTATGTAGTTTTTAAGCCACTGTCAGTCAAAATCAACTCTTCCTGCAGCTGTTTCACATTAAAAGCCCAACAGAAACGAGAGATTTTGCCATTTTGAGTAACTGGATGAAACATCTGTGCAGGAAGTGTTTTAATGTGGTCACTATTGAAAACACAAGGATGAAACTCTGAAAACTACAAATAAAATATAACAAAGTGAGCTAGTTTGGCACCAGCCAGGTTTTTACATACCGTACCTAGTTTTATAATGATCATAGATGTCACAAATTCACAAGAAGGCTGATTCAGCACTGCTTCATATCTTTATAAATAAAAACCAAACTGTTGAAAAAGATTTTTTCTGTAACTCTTATTTTATTAATGCAGGTCAAATCTTTATATTAGAGCTGAAATTGATCGATTGATCAACAGACTAAAATGAGCAGTGATTTTAATACTGAAGCGTTTTTAAATCACTGGTTCTGTATTTGCTGGTTTTCTTAGGACAATAAACCGGACACTTTCTGGGTCTGGACTGTCAGGCGACTCATTGTTAATGGAACAGTTGCAAACCACTTCATACAGAGGATTGGTATTATATTTTAAAGTATATTTATCTGTGATGTGTAGTTGCAAAAGCAAACTTAATATAGTTTATACTTATTAGGCCAGTGTTAGCTACATTCTAAGTAAACAGGGAATATTTTGATTACTTACATAAACTCAACTCACATGAACTTAATGACCACTCAGCACACACACAAACACACAGACACACACACACACACACACACACACGAGCTGATACCAAATGAGAGCTACATGCTGTTTGATTACATATTTTGTCTGGAGTCTGATTTACTGCTAACCACCACAGGGCTAAGTATGGTCAGAAATAAACTTCTGTGAGGATCCTCTGCATAAACATGGGGTCCAGCGTCCTGTTTTCCAGTAATTCTAGGGGCTTCCCAGAACCGGAGTGAGACGGGAGGGGGCCCGCTAGATGTCCAGAATGACATGATGCAGGAGGTTCAAGAAGTAGAAAGGGCTATATAATCAGCTGCAAGGCTGATAAGACAGACTCAGATAGACTCAGACTTGACGAGCGTGTGGGTGCATTTGGGGGGACCTGAGAAGACAGACAAAGACCCCAAACTCTGCAGAGATCCA